TCATTTTAGGTATCTCAGATTAATCTATCTCTTTGTTTTAGCTCTACTCGTTGGCCAAGTAATCGTAGACCGGATTTTCAGGACATATTCATTCTTCGTCGAATTCTGGGTTATAATGGATAATTGGCATACATGAGACTGTAGAACGTCTAAGGAAGATTTCAGCTTCATTTAAAGTATATAATGTCAATCTACCCTATCGTCTTAGCTCAACTCGTGTGCCAAGTAATCGTAGCCCTGGTAACCAGGACACATGCGTGTTTCGTCTAATTCTGGATTATAATGGATAATTGGCGTAAATGAGAATGTAGACCTTCTAAGAAAGGTTGTAGCTTCATTTAAAGTATATGAGATCAATCTACCTTACCGTTTTAACTCAACTCCTCGGCCAAGTAATCGTAGACCGGATTTTCACGCCACACGCATCTTTTGTCGAATTCTGGATTATAATGGATAATTGGCATACATGAGAGTGCAGGCCTTCTAAGGAAAATTACGGCTTTATTCAAAGTATATGAGATCAATCTACCTGACCGTTTTAACTCAACTCCTTGGCCGAGTAATCGTAGACCGGATTTTCACGCCCCACGCATCTTTCGTCTAATTCTGGGTTATAATGGATAATTGGCATACATGAGACTGTAGAACGTCTAAGGAAGATTTCAGCTTCATTTAAAGTATATCATATCAATCTACCCTATCGTCTTAACTCAACTCGTGTGCCAAGTAATCGTAGACCGGATTTTCACGTCCCTTGCAATTATGGTGTGGATTTGGATTATAATGGATCATTGGCATACATGAGAGTGTAGACCTTCTAAGGAAAATTACGGCTTCATTTTAGGTATATCAGATTAATATATCTCTTTGTTTTAGCTCTACTCGTTGGCCAAGTAATCGTAGACCGGATTTTCAGGACATATTCATTCTTCGTCGAATTCTGGGTTATAATGGATAATTGGCATACATGAGACTGTAGAACGTCTAAGGAAGATTTCAGCTTCATTTAAAGTATATTATGTCAATCTACCCTATCGTCTTAGCTCAACTCGTGTGCCAAGTAATCGTAGCCCTGGTAACCAGGACACATGCGTTTTCGTCTAATTCTGGATTATAATGGATAATTGGCGTAAATGAGAATGTAGACCTTCTAAGAAAGGTTGCAGCTTCATTTAAAATATATCATATCAATCTACCTGACCCGTTTAACTCAACTTCTCGGCCAAGTAATCGTAGACCGGATTTTCACGCCACGCGCATCTTTCGTCTAATTCTGGATTATAATGGATAATTGGCGTAAATGAGACTGTAGAACGTCTAAGGAAGATTTCAGCTTCATTTAAAGTATATCATATCAATCTACCTGACCTTTTTAACTCAACTCCTCGGCCAAGTAATCGTAGACCGTATTTTCACGACCCTTGCAACTATGGTGTGGATTTGGCTTATAATGGATCAATGGCATACATGAGAGTGTAGACCTTCTAAGGAACATTACGGCTTTATTTAAAGTATATGAGATCAATCTACCTGATCGTTTTAACTCAACTCCTTGGCCTAGTAATCGTAGACCGGATTTTAAAGCCACACGCATCTGTCGTCGAATTCTGGGTTATAATGGATAATTGGCATACATGAGAGTGTAGACTTTCTAAGGAATATTACAGCTTTGACTAAAATATATCAGATCAATCTATCACACCGTATTAGCTCTACTCGCTGGCCAAGTAATCGTAGACCGGATTTTCACGACCCTTGCAACTATGGTGTGGATTTGGGTTATAATGGATCATTGGCATACATGAGAGTGTAGACCTTCTAAGGAAAATTACGGCTTCATTTCAGGTATATCAGATTAATCTATCTCTTCGTTTTAGCTCTACTCGTTGGCCAAGTAATCGAATACCGGATTACCAGGACACATGCGTCTTTCGTCTAATTCTGGGTCATAATGGATAATTGGCATACATGAGAGTGCAGGCCTTCTAAGGAAAATTACGGCTTTATTCAAAGTATATGAGATCAATCTACCTGACCGTTTTAACTCAACTTGTTGGTAAAGTAATCGTAGACCGGATTTTCAGGACATATTCATTCTTCGTCGAATTCGGGGTTATAATGGATAATTGGCATACATGAGACTGTAGAACGTCTAAGGAAGATTTCAGCTTCATTTGAAGTATATCATATCAATCTACCCTATCGTCTTAGCTCAACTCGTGTGCCAAGTAATCGTAGCCCGGGTAACCAGGAGACATGCGTCTTTCGTTTAATTCTGGATTATAATGGATAATTGGCGTAAATGAGAATGTAGACCTTCTAAGAAAGGTTTCAGCTTCATTTAAAGTATATGAGATCAAGCTACCTGACCGTTTTAACTCAACTCCTCGGCCAAGTAATCGTAGACCGGATTTTCACGCCACACGCATCTTTTGTCGAATTCTGGATTATAATGGATCATTGGCATACATGAGAGTGTAGACTTTCTAAGGAAGATTACGGCTTTATTTAAAGTATATGAGATCAATCTACCTGACCGTTTTAACTCAACTCCTCGGCCAAGTAATCGTAGACCGGATTTTCACGACACACGCATCTTTTGTCGAATTCTGGATTATAATGTATCATTGACATACATGAGAGTGTAGACTTTCTAAGGAAGATTACGGCTTTATTTAAAATATATTAGATCAATCTACCACACCGTATTAGCTCTACTCGCTGGCCAAGTAATCGTAGATCGGATTTTCACGACCCTTGCAACTATGGTGTGGATTTGGTTTATAATGGATCATTGGCATACATGAGAGCGTAGACTTTCTAAGGAATATTACAGCTTTATTTAAAATTTATCAGATCAATCTACCACACCGTATTAGCTCTACTCGTTGGCCAAGTAATCGTAGACCGGATTTTCAGGACATATTCATTCTTCGTCGAATTCTGGGTTATAATGGATAATTGGCATACATGAGACTGTAGATCGTCTAAGGAAGATTTCAGCTTCATTTAATGTATATCATGTCAATCTACCCTATCGTCTTAGCTCAACTCGTGTGCCAAGTAATCGTAGCCCGGGTAACCAGGACACATGCGTCTTTCGTCTAATAAAATTTAAAGATTGAATTAATTCTAATCATGTAGAAATGGTGTCGCAATTACTCAAATCACGTCGTTTACATACATAATTGTCATAAAATATTATGCACTACAGTGAAATTACTTTTTGACTTTGTATCTAACATTGTCTTTTTTTCATCAGTTTGTTATTAAAAGAAAAATTATATGATTTTTACAGCGTTTAAAAAAAATACTCGACATCTATTGGTTGAATGAACCCATATTTACGTATATTCTTGTTTACTGTCATATAATTTATGAATAAGTATGAGCTTAATGAATAATAATTAATAAAAGAATATCTTACATTCTCACAATTTAAATAACCACTTATGTCTATCAATAATTGTTTTTGATTCAATTTCATACGAGTTTATACGACTTTATGAAATTTATTTTAAGTCTTCGATAACTCACTATTTACTTTCATTTCAAGTTAAAAAATGAGTGTTATATAAGTTTCAGCGATATCGAGAAATTCAACGGTAAGTCTATGCAACATATTTTACATATAATGCACCATCGTTTCTAAATGTATTTTCTTATTTTGTTTTCGCGGAAAGTCGCGAAAAACCATTTAAAAAGAATTAAGAATTTAATGTTTAAATAAATGCTATGAAATTGTTGTGTACAAAACAAATCCCATTTCATAAACGAGAATTAAAGTATACAGTATATAATTTGGTCATCGACAATAAGTATTAAATTGCTTGGTTATATTACTGGTAATGATTCATAAATGCCAAAAAACTAAAAAAAAAAATTATACCAGGATTCGACCCCGTGATCTTGTGATCACGGAGCAGAAACCTTAGCCTTACGGCTAACGTGTCTTCATCACTGTGCAAAGGTTGAAGGTTATATTTAAGTTGCGGATCCCCGGTGGGAGCTTGTGATTAAGTTTATAGGTTTAGGTTAAAGGTGCTTAGGCTTTGTATAATTGTTATAAATTAACTGCGATTGTTTAATATTACATTGTGACGTTTAAACAAACTGTGTATGCTCTGAAAATAAAGGTGATGCATACGAGTTTAGTAGGTAAATTGTCGGTCAAACAGCTCGCTAATATAGTACGAGCGTCAACCACGAGGGGGGTCTGAAACTAGCGAGGGGTAGGCTATTCCGTCGCGATCTTCGCCGACAAAATCGTCCCGCTTTCTGGCTCAGCGGCCATATAAGTTGTGCCTCCTTCTCTCTTACTCCCTGTGTAAATGATTAGTTCTACTTAATTTTCAAAAATTGGCGGACATATTTAACTTTTTAAAATGTTTGAATAGTACATTATGATACAACATTTCCCGAACATGTGCCGTACCGTATTTTTTGATACGACGTGTGGAAAGTGCGATTTTCAACGTACGTTCTTTGCCGAGCGTGCGGGAAAAACGCACTTTCTGCACGGAGTGTCGAAAACGTTTTTTTTTAACCGAATTCTCGAAACGTTTTCAAGTTTTGTAAATAACGTTTCTAAAACGTTTTCAAAACGTTTTTGTGTTGTTTGGGATAGGCGTTAATGGGTTAATGGAGTAAACAATTATTTCTTTTTAATTAGTTTCAAAATCAAATTATCAGAGATTTTTTATAGTTACTGTTATTGCATGATAGACTTAAATAATTGGATTATTTGAAGTTTGAATTTCGTCGTAATTATAATAGGTTTTGTAGGTAAAATGAATTTTTTCTTGTTATTTTAAGTGATAGTATAAGGCGAACAAACAAATTATCTCGTTGTTATTTTTATCTAAAAGACATATAATCTAATGGATTAATTATTTTTATGATTGTTTAAAAATTTGAATTTTTAAGCGTGGATTTATAACAGCTAAATCTTGGCGAAATGTGTATGAATCTAAATATGTGTACGAATCTAACAATAAACATCTGCAATTCGTAACCGCAATGCGCTAGATGTTATTTTAAGTTACGTTTGAAAACAGTTTTGATCGTAAACCCTTGAATTTTTGATCATGTGTAAATGCAAAAAGTAATATTTTCTCAGTGAAATATATGTTGTTAGTGTGAAATATTAACGAGTGGTAGGTGTATTGTTACAAGCAATATAGATGACTGATAATAATTTGTGTATGAATTATTCAAGTAAGCATTATTTAGTCAACTCTTATTGATAAATAAGAATTTTTATGATTCTATAGTGTAAGCAAAAAAAGAAAAAAACAATTATTTTAAAATGTTTTATTTGATATTGTAAATGTAGAAATCAATTTTTAAAAATTGTGTTCATTTTTATATTAGTTGCGTTGCAGAATAATGATTTTATTTACTAATTTGAGAAACATGTGGGATATATACAGAAAAGTAATAATTTTCTTTTACAACAATTAATAATTTACTATGAAGTTATGAACTAAAATCACTACTGAACGAATAATATTTCCTTGTTGAGTAGTAGTAATGAGTAGTCAATCAATATTCTACAAAAATATAACCATGTCTAAGTCTACACAATGGGTTTACTTAAATATCAGAAATGATAATAATTGTGTCAGAAATTTATAGATATAAAAAACTCAATGAAACAAAATAAACGACTAGGTTGGAATTAGAAAATGATAATTATTTTTTAATTATGAATATAATATAATTTATTTATATATATAGCATGGACTTAGTATATTTATTGGACTTAGTATATTCATAAATAATATAAGGAATCTGTATCAATGGTATTTAAGCGCTTAATCATAAATATAGTGTAAATTCAAAAGTTAATTCTTCTAATATTCAAGACTAATAAAAATGGATATATCAAATATAAAATTTGTTAAATTATTCACTCTACTTGAATTTCAAATAATTAAAATATCTGTTATATGTGCAACTTTTATCTTTTGTTTGAATTTTTATTTATTTTTTCCAAATATAAAAAAGAACAACTTTATGGAAATTTGTCTCAACTATTGCCTACTTAAGAAAATATAATCTATCTATACTTAAGAGAATATAATTTAGCAAACCATAATCTATAAATATTCTAAATAATATTATTGTTATTGTTATTGTTATTGTAACTTCAAAAACTAAGGCTATGTGGTATATATATTGAAGAAAATTAATATGTTGTAATATTTAACATATTGAAATAAATATATTAAAAAAATTTGAAATTTCATAAAATGTTATAAGTTTTACATTGTTATTTGAATAGTACATGTAGAATAACATCAATAATTGAATAAAAGTAAATATTAAACAAATATCATTGAGTAATAAATTACAAATGTATTAAAAGCATATTATAAATTTTATTATTGTTATTTAATATTTAGTTTTTGACAAATTTGAAGGATATCGCAGGTAGTTCAAGATTTGAAGAATCTAGAATTAACAACGATTTTTTAAATAAACTACAAATTATTGATGAATGGGTAAATCTTAGTTATTTCAAACAGCTTAGAATCACTGGATGACGGTTTTTTTTTAATTTTGCACAATTGTTGTTTATGTAGTGGTCATCACTTTTATAAATTTTTAACATAAAATATTAATTAGATCAAAAGTAATTACCTTTAAAAAAATGATAAAAACTTTTCAAAAAGTTATATTTTAAAAATTTATAAAGGTATAGAGATCCACTTTTTTATTAAAGACTTAATCTTTAAAAATATTTGTAATGATAAACAACAACTGTTTATTACAAAAAGTTATTAATTATTTTCTTAAACAAGTTTGAAAATCTTAGAAAGTAGTTGTTTTTTTAATTCTTGCTTCTACGCATTCATGGGGATTTTTTCTACAAATATTTTTATAAAATTCAAGTGCTTGACATATGAAAACATGTGGTACTGATTAAAAGGAGACACTCTCGTGTAATAGCAAGCGGGCTAAGCGCTGGTACACCTGGTGCTGGACTGTGGTCAGTATGAAAGAACCTTATTTTAGGGTTTTTACTATACCTTTCATTGATCTGTTTCGTTAAAGCTCATAGAAACTGTCACTTTTATAACTAAAAGTTATAAAGTGAATTTTAAAGTCATAGAAGTATTTAAAAGTTATTTAGCTTTAATACAAATTATGCTCTAGCTTGAATTTAATTTCACAATTTTTCGGTTAAGAGTGTCATAATTAGATAACAATAACACAGTTACATAAGTAACTTTAATATATGAATGTTGAAATAGGCTTCTTCTTATTTTGGACTTTTTGACCTAAAGATTGTGTTTTAATTAATGATTCAAAAGGATTTCATAATACTTGGGTATGTATACATCATCAAATTGTAAAGCTAATGTTGAACGCTGCAAAATTAAAAATAAAAGTTGATCAAACGCTTTAGTTGAAAATATGAGAAATTTTTAGTGTAGATTTGATGCATGTTGGATGTTATGTCCTGTCTTTCTTTTTCTCTGATGACGGGCAATTCTTCTTAGACTTCTTACTCTTGCCGATTGAATGTGAAGCGCGCTTGAAGCACCATTCATAGCGACGAACACCACACAAATCGTAAAGGATTAGTGGAGAACTTAGGATTTTCAATTAATTTCTTCAGAAAATATTTCAGAGAAAAAGTTTATTGGATTTTACCTTAAACTAGAGTTTCAAGGTTATTTGAAGGTCAACTTTGTTTTTTTAAATGGAAACCCCTATTTTTTATCCCGGATTCGGATAGAGTGGGAAATATTACGTTTAAATCATGTAATATGTGTGGGGTCCAAATGACCTCCACCCTACCCCCAAAGTCATTTTGAGGTCGACCTTACTTTTTGAATGGGAACCCTCATTTTTCGTCGCAGGTTTAAATTCTAGGTGAAATTGTACGTTTAGATGATGGGATATTTATGGGGTCCGAATGACACCCCACCCCACCTCCAAAGTCATGAATTCCAGTTTCCATTAAAAAAAACAAAGTTGACCTTCAAATAACCTTGAAACTCTAGTTCAAGGTCAAATCCAAGGTCACCATTGAGTTCCTTACAAAAAGTTACGGAAGACCTGACCCTAACCTTTTTAAAAACTACCTTACTTGAATAAATACAGGACCGTTTCGGTACTTTTGTTACGCCCTGTATATAGTATATATATTATAACAAAGTATGGGCACGATTGTGATTTTATAATATAAATCTACTTTATCGATCTTATGATCTTGCAACTCATTGCACAGCTGTTCTATATTCTTTATAACTAAATTTCTCTCTTCGATTGCTGCACGCTTACAACTCGTAGATTTGGCTTCCTTTTCCATCGCTTATTCAACCATGTTCTCGTAACGTTTGTATAAATCATTGGAGATGCTAGGAACACCTGTGCAGGCGAGAATTTTATTCAGAACAGTATTTCCTGTGCCAGCATGTACAGCACCTACAATGTAGACTGAGTTTTCAATTTCACGTTTATTCACATAAGTATAATTTTCTTTAAATACATTTACGTATAGAAAAACATACTAACCAAGTATAACTGCCGCGTTTATCTGAGATACATTATTTTTTTCAATTTTTCTTGTGTGTACTTTAGTATACAGACTACAAGATTTACAAAGAACAGTTAATACGGAATGAAGCCCGTTACGTCTTTCATCTGTCATATTTTCTAATCTGAGAACCTGGATTATTTGAGCTTGCATTCAAAACACTTCAGATTCTTGGCTAATTCTGTTAGTTGAACTAAACGTATTCCGCTGCCGACTCCGAAGCCAACTCCATTTTCTGCTTCACTCGTAAAACTGTTTGTGCTAACTGTCACAACACATTTTTTCGATTCAGACATACGCTTAATAGCTTTCGCGTTCCTTTTCAACGCTTTGTTTGAAATAAATTTACCATTTCGTTTACGATTATTATTCAACATCGTATTCATTTGCCTGACGCTTTTACTAACCTACGAAACTCGGCAAGAAATAAACATGCATCTGGCCACGAGTACGGTGTTGCCAGATCGCGTAAAGCTGCGCGATCAAACGAGTTTGAAACCTCTACGTATCGAAAGACAGTTCGACAGAGCTAAGTGATTCTCAACCATATCACTGCTCCGTGCATATCGTAACACACATAGAAGAGGTTACTTTGAGTTGACTACAACTGCAGGCCGGAGAACGTCCTTAAATATTCCTTTCATACAGTACACGGTGATGTTGACGCGATGTACGAAATAGTACCATTACTGTTTCGAATCAGCAAGAATGTTGGTTTGAAACTCGTCAACCTTTGATATTTAATTTCTACGATCGTTTTTTAACTTTATTCTCGGATCTGCTAATTATTACCGAATTTCTCTTACCAAATTTTATAAATAACAATCACTGATCTAATTAAATCTAGCACTTATCAATTGTGTATTAATACCGCTTATAAGACGTAATAACTAAATGTTGCGACTCTTTTTTATACATGAATTTGTGTCTCCTTTTCTAATACTCCCTGGAAAAAAGTAAGTTACTTATTGGCGCGACAATAAACGTCACCGACAAATCGGCTAATCACTCCGCTCTGTACATTGTAAAATCAACCGCGAGAAAAAAATTAAAATATTCGTTTAATATTTACTTTTATTCAATTATTAATATTATTCTTGATGCCGTATAATTCAAATAATAATGAAAAACTTATATTCTATGAAATTTGAAATTTCTTTAATATAATAATTTTAATATATTAAATTTCTTCTATACAGGGTGGGCCATTTTAAGTGAACCAGTAGGTTTTCTCGGAATCTATGAGAGATAGTGAAATATTTTTCAGACAAAAGTTGCTCAATTTCGAGGGGGTCAAATTCCCATGACCTTACCGTTGACCTTGGAGGTCATGTTCAAGGTCATTTGTTTTCTTAAATGGGAACCCCTATTTTTGACCCCGGATTCAGAATGAGCGGGAAATTCTATGTTCAGATGATGTAACATATGTGGAGTCCGCTTCACCACCCAAGGTCATGTGAAGGTCAATTTATTATTTTTCTTAATTTTTTTACCTGAATGACCGGGTAAGGATAATGTTAAGCGAAAAATATTTTAGACAAAAGTTGCTCAACTTCGACGGGGCCACATTCCCATGACCCTACCTTTGACCTTGGAGGTCATGTTCAAGGTTATTTGAAGGTCATATTTGTTTTTTTACATGGGAACCCCTATTTTTGACCCCGGA